CCTCAAGAGCTGAGCGAGATGGTAGAGCAGATCCAGCGGCTCCGTTCTTCCCTCTCAGATTCATCTGACGACCCTGAGGTAGATATTGAAGGTGACATTCCTTCAAATCTAATAGCAATCGAGTTGAATACATCATGCCCCAACATTCCCTCTCATCCTCCTCCAGCGTATCACATACCCGCGCTCAGGCCACTTGTGGAATCCTTTGCTCAAGCCTTTAGAAAGGACAAGACTCTAACATTAGGGCTCAAACTCGCACCATTCGTCTATCGAAAACAACAGGAAGACATATTGGATCTCATTAGTGAATTTACGGATGAGGACGGGACGAACCCCATTGCCTTTTTGAGCTGTACGAATACCCTAGGCGGCTGTACACTATTTACGGACCAGACAGGAAAGGTCAATGGGCCAACACAGGATCATAGACGGACCGGCTTCAATGACGGTAATGTCTCGGTGGCGACTGCTCTCCCTACCAAGTTTGGCGGATTGGCGGGAGATCCTCTGCATTACCTCTCATTGGGGTAGGCGAGAATTTCTTTCGAGTCTCCATGAAGTGACCATTGACTCTCATTCATAGCAATGTCCTCGCCTTTTCAGAGCTCATCGCAGATCACCCAGATCCCGCCATCGGACGAATAGGTATTATTGGTATCGGAGGGGTGACCAGTCATGCTGCATACCAACGGATGAAACAAGCAGGGGCTTATGCTGTTGCATGTGCGACGGCACTGGGACTCCAAGGGGTCAGTGTGTTCGAAAAAATACTAGGTGCTCATAGACCACCGAGTGCCAGCATCTAAACAGTCACACATTCGTTTAGATCCAGATTAGGTGTTATAGCATCGTGTACAACAGATGAATTAGAGGCAATCTATCACTTGAGAGCTTCTTCCCTTTCCAATACGCTTCGGTCCAGTTTGATGAGAATCGTCGTTCTATTAGGAAAAGAGTCCCTCGGGTCATTATGTGCGGTCACTCGGGCTGGCTGTTGGGGAATTAGAAGAGCACAATAATACGCTGAAATACTCACAAAGCCTAGCCCGTCTAGAATTGCCTCCACAACTCCTGCAGTCAACGCTGCACAACTCAAAGAGCTCATGTCCCTCGAGATTGAAATATATTTGATGATAGCTGGGTCATTTTCTATTATCATGACTTTTGAGGCTTCAGTATTTTTCGACCCTTCAGCGTTATATGGAAAACTCACATTCATCGTCGTTAGAGACACTCTTTTCAATGGCATCTGCGACTCTTCCGAAAATGGCTTTCCACATGGCATTTCCGATGGTCGAGAGCGTCGCGAGGAAGCGTGTCTCCCGCTTGGGGGCTCGTGAGGAGCCCTCTGTACGCCAAGAGTAGAGTTCTACCAATCGGAGACCCATCCTGTATCCCAAAGTGTTCAATCTATCGAGGCGTGTTAGGTCCTTTCCCTGAGGGAGGCGATAAGCAGAATAGAGCAACATACTTGCGCTCGAACTCTGCGATACCATCGACTCTTCTCTGTGTGTACTGGATCATTTCAGAGAAGAGAAACGCAAAAGCCGCCAGCGACACTTCGCTCGTCTTTGTCTTGTTGAGATTTCGGTCATAGATGTTCGGTCTGGTGAGATGAAGGCCTATTTGGAGAGTTTATTAGTTGTCACATGTGATCTTTTTGATCAAATACAAACCTGTAGTGGGAGTTTTGGAGAGGCTCATGGTACTTGCGGATGACGGTATCGGTAAAGGAGTACCAGACGAAGAAGGTGGAGGGAGCGAGAACCGCGTAGATGAAGAAGCAGCTGACAGTGTCGAATGCTCAGATGGCAATGAGCTCGTAGAGAGCACCGACAATCTGGGATGCACAACAGCGTGGCCAGAACCGTACATGGCGTATTGCGGTGGAGTGAACTTTGGAGTTCTTCTATAATCCGATTATGAAATGATCGTGATGAAGAGTGCGAGAGGTAGATCGAGGTAGATTGCGGGAGGATGAGGGGGAATGTTGGGGCATGATGTATTCAACTCGATTGCTATTAGATTTGAAGGAATGTCACCTTCAATATCTACTTCAGGGTCGTCAGATGAATCTGAGAGGGAAGAACGGAGCCGCTGGATCTGCTCTACCATCTCGCTCAGCTCTTGAGG